TAACTGTGTTGTTGCTATGAAACTACAAACATGGCCGAACGGGGTGGAGTCGAACACTCAGGGACCTGGAGGGTCCAAAGCGTTGCAGTTTTATTTTAAATAGAAAACAAGTGAATGATTTAGACGTGAAAAAGAAGGATTTAAAAGCATGACATGATACCTTTAATCAGATTAACGTGGCTCTGCTTGCTCTATGTTTTAGTCTTACTGTAACTTACACTTCTTCAGATTCAACGTCAGTGATCTTTTTGTCAGAATAAGAAAATATTTTTTGAGATTATGTTTAAAAAAACTGTAACAGAGTTTACAAATATTACATGCTGTTTTTCAAATCATGTTTTAACATTAGGCTTCCAGATGTTGATATTTTGTTGCTTTTGCATCAATTTTAATGTCAATTTGATGTAATTTTACAACTAAAAGCAACAACTTGGCTGTGTGTTTGTGAGCATCAGTGAGTTACATGAAATGTTTGTTGTGAAGACATGTTTCAAACTATTATCAATTTTGTCTATCATTAATACTTTTATTAATATTACATTAATTCATAGAACAGTTTCTTTTTAAGCGACTTCCTAAAGTGACATAAAGGCAGAACATTGCTGTTATAATATCCACTGCATTACTGATAAATGTTGTGCAAAGAAAGGTAATAGAACAATAGGCTGTTTTATTTTAATTTAAAACAGATTTAAATTGTGTTTCACTGCTTGTAGGGTTCATGCAGGTTTCAGTAAGTTAAATTTAAGACCTTTTAAAGACCATTTAAGACCATTAGTAATGACATTTAAGACCAAATCGACGCATTAACAGAAACATTCAAATGGTCTCAGAAATTTTATAATAGAAACCTTTTATTGCTATCAATTTAGTTATTAAAGAATATTTAATTTTAATACAAGAACACTAAATTATTTGAATGAAATGGTCATATCTGACTGCTGTGAACCGCTTTCAACAGAGTTAAAAAAAAATCACTGATATCAAGTCAAGTCTCTTTGAAAATACACTTTCCCACGTTTAAACAACAAGCAGTGGACATGAATGAACTTCTGTTTTTTGAGCAGGTAAATAAGCCGCTGTATGTGGGGGATTGTAGCGGCAAAGAGGTCAAAAACATGGAAGTAAACTGTGCCAGTTTTACCCTCAGTTATCAGGGTATTTATAGTTTAATCATGACCAGTAGCAAACTTAGCACTTCATGAAGACACATCATGTCAACCTCTGATTACGACTCAACTTTATTTATGCAGCCAACGGTTCTCAGGAATGATCAAAAGTAGAGAAAATTAAGACTTGACAAAATTAAATTTAAGACCTTGGGTGAAAATCTGGGTGTTTTTAAGACTTTTTTGGGCCTAAAATTTAGATATTCAAATTTTTGACTTTTTTAGACTTTTTAAGACCCGGCATGAACCCTGATTATTCTTACATTTGTTGAGAAAGTACTTTCACAGAACACATCTTACCATAAGCTCATCAAAAGTCACTTTTTCCTGCTCCAGTCTTTGTGTGACTTGTTGGTGGAAGCCTCCAAGCTGCAGAGAGGTGAAGGGCGGACGGTCGTAACCATCCATTTCCAGGTAGGTCGATAGAGAACGAACCTGCAAAACAGAAAGGATGTAAGAAAAACTACGTTATTGTTTACCGTCTGAATATTTTTATTTACTTATGATACCTGATAACAAGCTAGTTTAGCACCAATACTTACTTTGATTCCTCAGCAGAAACATCAARGGTGTATTGTGTTTTTGTTTGTTTTTACTCTCACCTGTGCATCCCGATTCTTGACGCTCTGAATGTGGTGATCAGCTTCCAGCTGTAAACGACCTGAAGAGAAAAATGAAACCCAGTTCAACAATGATCTGCCTGTGCACTAACACAGCAATAATAACAAATCAAGACTAAACCCTGTGTTGTTGTCCTTAACATCTTAACAAACACTTCTTTAACAAACAAGCACCTCTAGCACACAGTCTAAACTAAATTAGTGTAAACTTGACTTATATTTTATTAAGAATGTTCCAACCAATTGTTGCTCACATTGTATTGTTTCTTTTATTAAACTGAACAGCTAAATTGTAGAAAATAGAATTTATATAACAACGAGATATGCCTATAATTACAACAGCACAACACTGTAATCAGATGACTTTAAGAAGTAGCTGCTAGCAATGGAGATTATTGTGCAGTTAAAATTAATACAACGTATGTTTAACATTAACAAAACTGGTTGAATGTTGGGAGTGTGATGAAAATAATTATGTGAACCCCTGGTTACTTTATTACTCTTAAATAATAAAGCACCAAACAAAACAATTTAATTTGAAACTGCTGTTCAGTCATTAACCCAGTCAAATCCAAAGTGTGTGATACACAGCTGCCTTTTTTACAATAACAAATAATTTTAAACATTAGGCTGAATTTAATGTCAAGCTAAAATGTATACACCTGTTCAACACTTTACTTATCTTCAGTCAATATACAGTGGGGAAAATAAGTATTTAGTCAGTCACCAATTGTGCAAGTTCTCCCCCTTAAAAAGATGAGAGAGGCCTGTAATTGACATCATAGGTAGACCTCAACTATGCGAGACAAAATGTGAAAAAAATTAGAGAAAATCATTTTGTCTGACTTTTAAAGAATTTTTTTGCAAATAATGGTGGAAAATAAGTATTTGGTCAATAA